CGGAATAGGAAGGGTTTTTACTCCCAAAATGTGTTAGGGGTATGTTCATTTGACTTGAAGTTTACTTACATCTTAGCTGGATGGGAGGGCTCTGCCCATGATGCGCGCGTTCTTGCGGATGCAACAAGTACAAGAGATAAAAATTTCCCAAATCCACCGCCAGGTATGCGAACAACAATCCTTGCTATACATTCAATATAGAATAAGTATTGTCGGTTGGTTGTCAGAACTTAATTATTGATTTGTAATGGTTAATATAGGGAAATACTACCTTGTAGACTCTGCCTACGCGAATACCAATTGTTTCTTGGCGCCGTACCGGGGGAGCACATATCACCTTCAAGAGTATAGGGCAAGACGTGGCCGTCCTCGAACTCAGCGTGAGTTGTTTAATTATACGCATTCGTCCCTAAGAAATTCTATTGAGCGCACTTTCGGTGTTTGGAAAGCACGGTTCCGCATACTAAAGTGCATAAATAATTACCCAATAGAGAAACAGATACAAATTCCTGTTGCTTGTGCCGTGCTTCACAATTTCATACATATGTACAACCATAACGACGAGCTACTAAACCAGTACACACGAGACGGAGTACCAGTTGTTGATATTGATCCGGAGAATGCGGATCAAGATGTTAATCAGAATCACAATCCTGATCGGGCAATGGAACAAAATCACAACTCCGCAAATCGTAGGGAAATGAATATTTTGAGGGATGAGATGGCTGCTAGCATGTGGGGGGCATTAGAAGCATATCGCAATCGGTAGTTACATATATTTGTTTCGTAATTTCAACGATTAATATGAGTTTGTAATGCTAAACTTATGGACGTTTTTATTATTATATATGAATGTATGTGTTTATGGTTTCTCTCTTTAAAAAAATCCATGTCAAAACTTGCTAAAATTGGAGTTATGTTTTTTTCAAAGGTGAACACAAAACTCAAGTTTAACATTCACAAACTAACTAAGTGAACACACAACTCAAATTTGAAACTCAATTCCAATTAAACTCACTTTTTTAACTCTAATCTTGAATTTCAAATTATTGAAAAGAACGTACCCTTAGGCTTAATGGCCTTAAGAGGTATGAACTCATAGCTTATACTCCAAGCTTTATTTCCCTCAAGGACATTATGGTGAGGTCTGACGCTGAGATACTCATTGTCAATTCAAGGTAAGCTTTACTTTTTGTTTCGACTTCACTGTAATATATCGTTTTCTGCCTAGTCTAAATTGTTGTATTTGAATGCTCTTGTTTTCTTTCCTGTTTCTGGTCTTGTCAGTAACTAATATAACTCTTCAGTCTTCACTGGTACTTGTTTTATAAAATGTCGTTCCTCGACTTCTAAGGCCTCGTTCACTTTGCTTATTCGAGTTTTGAATTCGAGTTTAGATGTGACTTTATTTGAGAGCTTTTTACTGTAGCAAAAAAGTTAGATGTGACTGTTTGTGAGAGCTTTTTACTGTAACAAAACTCGAATTCTAAACTCGAATCAGCGAAACGAACGAGGCCTAAAAGTCTCTTTTCATGAATTAACACAACACTTCTGTTCCATGTTGAGATTTGGAATTTAGGCCTCGTTCACTTTGCAAATTCGAGTTTTCAATTCGAATTTAGATGTGACATTTTTTAAGAGCTTTTTACTGTAACAGAAAAAGTCAGATGTGACATTTTCTGAGAGTTTTTAACTGTAAAAACCTATCATTAAAAATTTAAATCGGTGAAATGAACGAGACTTTAATATATTATTTTGTCCACAAAAACCGGGTAGTTATTTATTTATTTATTGTACTTAGAAATTCCCGAACGGACTTTTTGAGCCCGAGTTAGAAACTGGAGCCCCCTAGCAAACCCTCCAATCTTTGAAAGTCAGAAAACTCTGACCTTTGTCAAATTGGCACCCATGAGGTGGTACGAAGCCCAAACCTTGTACGAACAAACCAAAGGCCTGACTACTCCAAATTTCCAACTAACACCCCAGGGGTAAAAACTGGGCAGTTATTAAGATTAGTGTTGATGAGTTCCAAGATAAACTGGGCAGTTATTCAAATTGTATTTTTTTATAGCTTATTGGATAACATATGCAATTGTTATAATTAAACTGGACTAGTGAAGGATTTTCTGAAGTATGTCATCTAAAAGGTTAAAAATAAAAAGAAAATATCAATTTCTAGGACGAACTTGGGCGTTGATTGGCTAAAGCTTTCCTTATGTTTTTTCGTTAGTGGCAGCAAACACTTGGATTAATATCATGCACTACGTTTATGTTCATGTAGGCTACTGATCTTACCTACTACTGGCAATATCGTACTGCCAATGCAGTGGGAACATAATTTGTTTCACCTCATAAAAGATGAAATAAAAATAACAGAAGCAATTCTGTTCGGACGTGTCTATTAGGCCCAGCTTCCATTAGTAAGTCATTGAAATATTTTATGCCATAAAACATCCCAGTATCATCTGCACATTTAAATAGAAACCAAGTCATGGACAGTTCATACTCAATTATACATGCGTTAAATGAGTTAATTTGCCATGTTATATACAAGAAGAAAATGGCAGTAGCGCATTGGAGCATAAATGAATGTTAATGCCAAATATACCATTTTAACCATTTTTTGTGGCAAATTTACCATTGGCCAATGTCTTAGTGAGAAATTTATCATAATGTATAGCATATGAGAAATTTAACAAAATAAATAAATTGTATTAGAGAGTATTTTTTTACACTCAAATGCTAAATTTACATTTAACACGTCAATTATAGTATTGCACTGGAGATGCTCTTAGGGGTTAAAAATTTTATTTCCGAGGATGAAGTGACAATTGAAGCAAAGTCAGGGGTTAAAATCATGAATATATTTCTCCCTCCTCTTTTGTTTTTATTTTTCTCCCTAGTCCTTCCCATTATCCCATTCCCACCCACATATTAAACGCCGTTTTTCGGGTTTTCTATTTTCCCTCTTCCCAGTTCACAGAATGCACGCGTTGGGCGGTGGAGGCAACGGCGGCCTCTGGGGCTCGAACCTTCCTCCAAGAAAACGTAACCGGCGTAACTCTAAGCGACAAGGGAGAGAACGATCGGATTCAAAGTTGTCGGACTCTGTGGAGGCCACCGGAGGATCCGGTTACCGGTTCCCCTTCAAGCAAGCCGTGACTGCGGGCTCACTCGCCCTCACCGGCGACACAATTGCTCAGCTCACTCACCGGTGGAGAAGGTCCAAGGCCGCCAAGCAAGATTCCTCTCTCACCGATTCCCGTGGCGCCTCTCAGGTCTCTGAATGATTCTTCTTTGTTTTCCATGCCTGTTTGGTTGCTGAGAAAATGTCGGAGCACAAAAGATGACTTTTTTTTTTTACGTTTTTATGACTATTTTAGTTTTTGTTCTTTGTGATTCGTGGTAGTAATACTTTCTGTCATTTTTGTTCGTTGCTTCGTAATTGTGGAAAATGTGTTCTTTTATTTTTTTTGCTGAAAATGATGATATGAATGATTTTACATGGAAAAAAAGTTGAATTAGTTGGTGTTTGAGGAGCATATACAATTTAGCTGATTTCTCTGTTTTAGGAATCCATGGTATTGTAAGAAGGGGTTTGGATTGTGTTTGCTTGCGTCCACTCATGAAGGCTAAACAAAAAAAACTCAATGGAATTTATTGTGAAATTAATTGAAGCATGCTTGTTTGTTTTATGAGATAATATTAATAAAAATGGTTAATTCCACAAAGAGTCTTTATGTAGCTGTACTTTCTTCATCAATTTCGATTCTAAAGTTGCTACATTCTTAGTACTTTAGAGGAATTTCTAGGCCATGACTTTATGTACATTACTGTTTCATTCTGTACTAACCCCCGTTAATGAACTTATGTGATGTTAAGCTTTGTCTTTATGTTCTTTTTTCACGTAAGTGGTTTCATGGGGTTTTTGGGCCCATAGGATGTGATGCAGAGTCTTCTTTCGGATCATGATTGGCTCCGTGCTCTTCGGATGGCTTCCTACGGGTTTCTTTTGTATGGGCCCGGTTCTTATGCGTGGTACCAGTATCTGGATCGCAGTCTGCCAAAGCCGACAGTGAGGAACCTAATGCTAAAGGTGTAATGTAAACTCGTTCTTTTTCATTTGATGTTGTAGTTTTGTATACTTGTTCAGAAAGAAAGACTCAACTTATTGTCTTACAGGTTTTGTTAAACCAAATAGTGCTTGGTCCTTGTGTCATTGCGGTTGTTTTTGCATGGAACAATCTATGGCAAGGGAAGCTTGCACAGCTACCGGACAAGTACCAGAAAGATGCTCTTCCTACTCTATTTTATGGTATGCTGATAGCCATGTTGAAGTATTCGTTTCATTAGCTTGGTTATATACTTCTTCTACTATGCAATCTGATATTCTTTACTGTCGCTTTATTTATGCAGGCTTTAGGTTCTGGATACCTGTCAGTGTATTGAACTTCTGGTACCTTTTTTTTTGTTCTTTAAGTCTGAGTTACACTTTTTTTCGACATTAATTTCATTCTCAAAATTTCCCCCAAAACTCTGCCTGCAGAAATTTTAGGACGATGAGTCCGCTCTCTCTCTCTTTCTCTCTGGTCTAGGGAGAAGTTAAGAGAAAAGTCACGCTGACTGCTGACCATGCATAACTACCTCTAACATAGAATACTACTGAAGAAGTAAAAGAGTTTCCCTAAAAATACTTTTATAACTGGTGCTGAGAACTTTGATCTAAATATGCATTCTTTTCAGCAACAGTTGAATTTCTCACAATACGAGTACCTTGAGTGAACAGGTTCAATAATCGTTAATGGTCATCATAACATAGAATGTTGTTATCACCGTTATAGTTGGAAGGCTGTAGTGAATTTCTCACAATATGAGTAACTTGAGTGAACAGGTTCAATAATCTATAATGGTCATCGTGGCATAGAATGTTGTTATCACCGTTATAGTTGGAAGGCGGTAGTGACCTTTTTATACCTTTGTTATGTTCTTGACAGGGTGGTACCCCTTCAAGCCCGTGTAGCATTCATGTCGATGGGGTCAATATTCTGGAACTTTTGCTTGTCTTCTACTATGAGCAAGTAATTCACCAAAATGGTTTATCAATATTTGGTATCAACTTGGTGAACTCATGAGCTGGAGGTATGATATGCAATCTCTCCCTTGGCTGTGAGCTTGTTACTTCTGCCCGTAGTTTTTTCGTTTTCTTATTTGTTACTTTCCTTAATTTGTGACCCTACAGGTTTAGAGAAATATGTTGGAATCGGAGATGATGATTTATGTCTTGCGCTCTCTTTTGTAGTGCATTGGGTTTTAAATTTATGAATGATTGTTGTCACAATTTTGACTTCACGAAAAACTGTTTTCCTACTGCAGAAGTCAAGAAATGGATTTCATTAGTTTATATTTACTTAAAATGTGTATAGGAAACGCAACATTCTTTTTGAGAATGAGTGACGATGGTTTTTGGTTTTAGCTTTTTGGGTGGCATCCTTCCTAAATCCTAACAGTCAATAAAGGAAATGAGATTCTTCCCCCTTCTTGTTCACGCATGGTTTTGAGAAGGAAATAGGTAAGTGGATTTTGAGTTTATGCTTGACTTGTTCGATCAAATTATTTTTCACATGGTCGTTATTAAATAAATAGAAGAGACAGAGGAAAAGAATAAAAAACGAGGCTCATGTGATTCACGCGTTTAAGTCTGACTCTGAGTCTGATTTTGTGAAAGAACCCATTGGTGAGAACTTTTTTTATTTAAATTTTTTGTAATAAAAAAGTACTGTAATAGAATAAGAATCATGGATTCAAACGCCTTAAACAAACGAGTCTAGTGAATTTTGACATTCAATAATCAAACTACAGGGCCCTTTTTCCAAAGTGGATCTCTCTCTCTCACTTTCTCTCTCCTGTTGGAAATCTAATGTCTCATTTATTTTACCGATTTGAATTTAGAATTTAAGTTTTATTACAGTAAAAAGTTATTAGAAATAGTTACATTTAATTTTTTTGTTACAGTAAAAATTTCTTACATAAAGTCACATTTCAATTTAAATTAAAAAATTGAATCAGCGAACTAAACGGGCTCTAAATACATAACACATGTGCGTTTGATCTCACTAATGGCTCCATATCCGTCTATTCTTCAACACTATCAGTTGGCAACAGAGAACAATTAAAGGGAAAAGGCAACAGAGAACAATTAAAGGGAAAAGAGGTGGAACAAAGAAATAGCCACGCACTTATCAGTCCAAACAGAGAGTATATAGGCATCTATTTTAAGCGTAGATGAAATTCGAAACCCAACTTGCATTAGTACCAAGCGAAGCATAGTGCATAGTTCAAGACTTTAATTTGTAAAAATGTATTAAATAAAAAGCAAAGCATGGTATAGGTTCCTATGGTGTCGAACAAATTACAATCTTATGAGAATAGAGCTAAGGATATTATTCTGGTAAGTGAGCTTAGCCCTAGTTTCAAAAAGGAATTTTTGTTGGCCGTGAGTTTTCAGTTCCATAGTCATAGTTGATTTGATTACAGCAATTTGTATACCGTATAACCATATAAAAGCACCGAAATAATATACTTTTTTACCAACCAAGTTAAACTTCGCAGATAATGAAACAAGTAGCTCATATTGATATTTTAAGTTAAAACAAAAAAAAAAAAAAAAAAAAAAAAAAAAAAAAAGAGAAAAAGAAAGAGGAGGTGCTCTAACCCCATCAGAAGCATTCTTAAAAGAAACAAAGCTTGTTAGATAAGAATCCAATCCTATGAATTTTGATTACTTTAATAATTGTTTCGCTTAATTGTTGTAAAGTCACAAAAAAAAAGTACATATAATAATTGCTGAAAACTACAACAGATATATATGATTGCTGAAAACTGTAGTTTCTTTGAGCTCCAATCAACGGCTAATTTCACTTGCTTGTGCTTGAACATCAATTCAATAATCAAGTGACTAACAAAGAAACAGATCATTAGATGCCCTGTCAAAGTTAATGGAGCCAAAATGTGTCAAGTCCCGTTCCTTTTGTTTATTCAAGTTAAGAATTTAAGTTAAAAAAGTAAATTCATATGAGAGAAAATACTGTAATAAAAAAGTTAAATTTAGTTAAATTTTAACAAAACTTCAATTGTGATTCGAATTAGCGAAATGAACGGGGCTAAAAATTTATAGACTAAAGAACGCAATCTACTCAATAGAATACTACCTTGTTGAAATGGTAATTATCTCAATTTTCACTGTTCATGAATCAGAATTTGTTCCTTTCTAAATTTCCACCCCATCTTTCAATTTTTGGAGCACTAGCCACCATGGAATAGAATCTCTTTTGAAATGGACAAAGAATCATACTTTAAGAACTTGACACTAAAACCAAAAACTTACAAAAGCAGGAAAGCAGAAACCAGAACATTGACAAGGATATAACCATCATGTCCACGACTAATGAAGTACAATCTATATATATATAATCCTCAATCTCAAAGCAGAAATAAATATTTCAGTTACATCCAATTAAGGAATAAAAATTTGCGGAGATCCACAAGAGGAAGACATGCTGAGCAGAAGCAACAGCAGCAGGAACTATTTCGCTCCGACCCCGGTGGAGAACTGGCGGCCCTCAAGGGACTACGGTGCCTACACTCCCAACTCTAATGAATCAAATTTTGGGCAGCGCTTGTCAGGATCACGTTCCTTTAGAAGCAACCAAGTAAGTATCCTTTTACATTCCTCCAGAAGAGAGAAACTATTCAGTGATATGATTGCTTGTTTGTTTGATCCAAACCAAAAGATTTTACAAGCTAATCATATACCATCCCTTTTGTCTTCTCATTTCTCAAGAAATGATGCCCGGAAGCAGAAAAATGGAATTTCCTTGTTCGGCACGCTAACTTTTTGTTCATAGAAGAAAATAATTCCGTGATATTAGCTGTTTTTTTTAAATTTATTTTGCCTTTTTTGGGCGCAAATATATTAGGATTCTGGAGGAACAATGGAAGCACAACGGTCATTTGGCAGAAGGACGTCAAGTTTTGGCTCGGACAGGTATATTTTAGTTTACTAATTCTCCTAAAAATTTAAGCCGTTAGAAGGTGGATCAACAATAATTTTATATTTTAATAATATTCACAGGCATTGTTGTGAGTTTCTGTAGATTTCAATATAGAAAATTGGAACAATTTCATTTCCAAGTATTTCATAGAGACATGTTCTCTGTTTTCAGGCAATAGCAAAGTATGAACTAGTAAAATCATTAAGCAGGAAAGATTAGAAAAAAAACTATTTTTCCTTGCTTATGTTCATATCATTACATTACTTCTTATTTGTTTCACTTCTCTTCCTAATCTACTAGTATCCATCACCAAACACTTAGCAGCATCCCAGCACCACAACGGTCCTCCTCAGTTCAAATCATAATCCTCGACAATGACCCGCCAAGAGAATCCAATCCTTGGCCTAGACAGCCATCCCGTGACGTGGCCCCTCCTAGGCCAATTGATCCATGGTACGTGCCTCTCCGACGGACTGAAGAACAATACCCCAGATCGAGTTCCCGGATCGAGCAAAACAAGGCTTTGGAAAATCTAAGAAAGCAAATTTATAATCCGAACTCGAAAAGAATAACAACAAGAATCAACTTGTACTACAGAGACACTCCCGTGAATCCCAAGGAGATCGACAACGAAGAAGATGGCAAAAGGTGTGCCATTTGCTTGGAGGACTTTGAGCGCGGGCAAGAGGTGATGATCACTCCATGTAAGCACATGTTCCATGAAGAATGCATCGTGCCGTGGGCGAAAAGCAACGCTCAGTGTCCCGTTTGCAGGTTCGTTTTCGGACCAAAAACTAGGGAATCTGCAACGCCCTTTAACAGAGGCAATAGCAACAATAATAACACCGAGAATGTGGCCGGTTCCGGCTTATCTACTGAAGAGTTCTTTTCAATTATAAGGGCACTTGGTGACGGTTTCCAATGGAACTATTGAGAATTGTTATGGAAAGCCAAATAATGTTTTATTAAATTTGAGACATTTGTTTGTTTGTTTGTTTGGTATTCTAAGCTCAAGAAAGTTTCCTTGCAAATAAATAATGCTGTCTTTAAGCTAAGAAAGTTTTAGTAAAAAAGCATTACCAAGCCTATAAATGAAGACGTTTTAAAGGAAGTTTTGTGCAACTTGTGGCTTTCAAATTTTACAGAAGGCATCAAGACAAGAAGTTCGTATTCAACATGCTAGCAAAAGCTTAAACGGCAAGCAAGAAAATTGTGACCATTTTAGCGTCAAGTATGAGTTGTCTTTTAAGGCAATTCTTTAGTCAACAAAAATTGATGAAAGATTCTTATATGACGACATGATGTGTAAAGAAGTTGATAAGGATTCTTCTTCTTTTAACAAAGGCTCGGTGTAGGTGTGTGTTATCTATATATATATATATATTATACATATACTAAAAGAGAGGGTGGGATTCACTGTTTATGGTACAGTGCAATGAACAGTGTATTTCCCGTTTTAGCCCTGCTTTTTTGTTCCGTTGAAATTTTAATTGCCGTTATGTCCTATTTGTAAAATTACGATATTGCCCTCCTTTTTAGTTTCCTGTCCGTTTATTTGCTGTGACCATTTTGGTCATTTATTGATTTTTTGCTTATTTCGTTTCTTTTCCTTTTATTCGCTTTCTTTCATTCTTTTTTGTTTTCGTCTCTCTCTCTCCTTCATCTGCTTCCTTCCGTAGCTTCCTAGATTCTTCTTCTCTAAAACTAAGCCAGGATTTTTTTATCCCCCTTTTTCGTTTGTTGATTTCGATCATTTTTTTGTTATGTCTCTCTGTTGCTATTTATGTTTCCCGTTGATTTGCTTCTGTAATCTTCAGCTCCCTTTTTGTTTTTTACTAAGATTGGGGGGTTTTTTTTTTGGATCTATTTTTTCTCTTTTGTTTTTTTCCCTTCCGCAACCTTTTAGATCTGTCTTTTTTCTTTCTTCGTTTGTTGATTTCGGTCATTTTTTCATTATTTCTTCCCGTTGCCATTTATGTTTCCGATTGATTTGCTCCTGTAATCTTCAACGCCCCTTTTTTTTTTTTTTTACTAAGAATGGGGTTTTTTCCCCCTGGAACTATTTTTTTCCTTTTGTTTTTTTTCCTTTTTGCAACCTTTTAGATATGCTTATTTTTCTAAATATTTGTCCATATTTCTTTGTTTGTCGTGTTCCTTATTTTCCCAAATTTTTAGAATTTTTCTTCCTTTTTTAGATCTACATCTGCTTTTATTTTCCCGTACCTAGATTGAAGAGGAATAGGCTTTTTTTTTTTGGGTTCGTTCGTTTTTATTATTTTCTAGATTTACGTTTGTCCTTTTTAGTTTCTGGATCTATATTTGTCCAATTTTTTCCCCCCTGCAATGTTTTAGACCTGTATATTTTTCTAGGCTTTTGGCCACATTTCTTCGTTTCTCATTTTCCTTCTTTCTGCAACCTTCTAGCTCCTTTTTTTTCCTCCTCGCCAGGTTTATTCGTATTTCATTTTTTTTGTGTATATATATATATTTATCGATGTTTTATATTTTATTTTCATCCTTTCGTTGTATATGCATGGTACCTTTTTGTTTCATTACGTTATTAGTTACCTCCGTAATTCATTTTGTTGAATATTTTTGTCTTCCTTCCATGGTTTCGTTCATGTTTATTAGATCTATGTTTTGATTAATTTTTTTTAGGCTATTGGGTTATTTATTTTAGATATGTGTTCATTTTTTTATGTTGTTCTGTTTTTTCCCTTCCTAATTTGTTATTCGACTATTATATTGGTGAAGAAAAAAAAGTTTTTTTTAAAAACAAATGTCTAATATTTGTCGTGATCTAAATGTGGTAATATTTATATTAATCTTTTACTTTGACACGTGTATTTTTAATTTTCCCGTTTTGTATAATATCTAACCGAATAATAAGTGTTTATTATTTATTGGTTCTACCTTGCGGTGCTCTTCATGCATTGTGACGGATGTTGCTAACTAATCATCACTTTTATTGGTTTCTGTTTGTAGGGATTTGTATCCGAGGTTAAGCAAAACATGGGTAACTTTCTCTATATATACTGGATGTTACTCTTTTACTATTGCGTTGTCTACGTTTCTCAGCATATATTGTCTACCATATTCTGTTGTCTCCGCTTTTCCACTCTTTAAAGACCATAATAATACTACCTGTTTCTTACTACTCTTATCGCCTCCTTTATATATCTTTGTTCTATTCCTACTGCTCAGTAATTTTCGTTGCTTTCCTGCTGCTCAGTAATTTTTGTTGCTTTCTTTCATTTATCGTTTTGCCCGTGGTCTGCTCAATCAGGTAATAACTTCTTCAGTTTAATTCGGTTGCTTTATTCTAGAATATTATTTTGTAATGTTATGTTTGTTCATTATATGAAATGTTTTATACTACACTTTACTTTTTTCCTTCTCTAATCTACTCTCAGTTACCTGTTTCTGTTCTAAGTTGATTACCTGATATTTTATGTTTACAAACTTTTCTAAATCTTATTAAGATATAACGCTTATCTTTATCAAAAACCCGGTTTTTAATATTAAAATACCTTATTCTCTCCTGGTTATGATGATGTTATATTTCATTTGTTGTTAATATGTGTTGGGTAATTGTTACTGCAAACATGGCTGTCATTGATGTTGCCCTTATTATTTAGGATTTATGCCAATATATTTTAATTTGTCATTTGTTTTAGTTTTATTATATATATTTGTATTTATAAAAGTTGCTTTTTGTCTATGCTACTACTTTGTGCATATCCATTTGTTTCCTCTGTTGTTTACTCTGTTTCTTTTTCATTGTATTTTGCATAATTTACTGTTACTCTTAATTTATTAACTAACATTTGATATTACCGCAGTGTTATAAAGTTTGTTACAACCGAATGCCTTTATTTACCAAAAACTTGGTTTCTTATATTCGAACACTTTATTTTTCCCGGTTATGATGATGTTATACATCATTTGTTGTTAACATGTGCTGAGTAATAGTTCTTACAGACATGCCTATCATTCATGTTGCCCTATCATTCATGTATGTTGCCGGATTTTGTTTCAACTACTTATGCTGTATAGTACTGACAGTAAACAGATTTTGTTTCAATTACTTATTGCTAATCTAACTATACTATTCTGTCTTACTTATAGCATAAATTCCCTGATAATATTGCTGGTAGCCATGTATATTGCCATATTTTGTTTAAATTACTCATGGTATATATTTTTTCCAACGCTTGAATATAACCTGAACCATTTGTATATACAGTCTCCTTAGTTATGGCATAAATTTCTTGATAACATGGGTGGCAGTTGTGTATATCACTATATGTCATATATATAATCTCATTTTGTACTTTTCTGTTTTCCTTACCTGTAGTGGACATTTTTCCTCTTCCAGCTCACTTTTGATCATTCCCTGCTATTTATATTTCAGCCACTTATATTTATTGCCTGTACCTGACTATTCTTACTTTCTGCTCCTTCGCTCATTTACTGCTTTTTTTCCACCGTTGTCTAACATTTTGTATTTATACAATGGTCTGAACTTTGTTTCAAAATATTATCTTTGTTTATCAAAAATTTTGTTTTTTATATTCAAAAATTTAATTCTCACTGTTTTTTTCTTTTTCTTCTTACCATGTACCGAGAAATAAGCTACAAGTTTGTTTGAGGAAACATTACAAGAGGAAATCCGAAAATTTTCTTGCAGGGCCATGAAATAACTCACATGTCCAAATTTATTATGTAATTGAGATATAAATTTGTATATAAATTTTTTGTCTTATTATGTTATATTTATTTTCAGGGAGCAATAATAGCTTCCCTTCTTTTTAATACATGTAAAATAGTATATATTACTGTTTATAACTATATTATATTTATTTGTTTACTTTAACGTTTATCATCTATTAAAAAAATCAAAATAACACCTACAAAAAGGAACCAACAAAATACAAATATAACAGCCCAAACTTTTGGGCCCGAAACAGCAACAAAAAAGTCTTTAACGTTTATCATCTATTAAAACAAACAAAATAACACCTACAAAAAGGAACCAACAAAATACAAATATAACAGCTCAAACTTTTGTGCCCGAAACAGCAACAAAAAAGTGCATGTGTTTCCTAATTATTTGTGATGAACGAAAAATTTTGGGAAAAAAAAATCCTCTGTCTTTTTTTTCCTCTGTTTTCCTTTCCATGGGGATATTGTTATATTTGTATTTTAATTCTTTGTTTTTTTTTTCTTTTCCTTATTATGAGTAATACATTTTTTTATTATTTAATTAGGAAATTTTAGTTCTTTACCTTTTATAAACCGACTTCATACTCTTACGTGTGTCTTTTTAACAAGCTATGGATCTGTTCTCTTCTTCTTTATTTAACCATGTTGCTGCACATGAATTTATCATGCATATCTCTGTTCCTTTCTCTTGCATTCCACATTCTTGTCTCTTTATCTTACCCTTACTCATTTACTACTTTATTTCATTCTCCATCATTTTTTGCTTGATCAATTTATCCTTCTCTCTTTCACTGCTTTTGCTCACATTTGGTTGGCTGATATTTTAGACGTAAGGCAAAATTTATAGTCATCCAGGTACTGTTTATAACCCTTATCCATATTTTTTAACTGCTACTGCCGATGTTGGATGTATTGGTTTGTTGTACTGGTATTAATGTTTATTCCTTATGTCTTATTATCTATCTTTATTTTCTATTGTGTTTGTTTAGTAAATAATGTTCATTTGTTGACTTCCTATTTATTTTTCTTAGCTACGTACACACACACACATATATATATACATATTTTTACCTATGTTAATTTTGGTAAGTTTTTCTAGGTGGCAATGATGATTATGATTGATTTTGATGTGTTAAATTATATATAAGCTGTCCAAAGATTGCTATGAATACATTTTCTTATTTCGATTATGTTTTTATATACTATTTTTTAGTAAAAATACTTTGGTACTTTTTTTTTTTTTGGTTATTTCTACTTAAGATACACCTTTTAGCTTATCCCTATTTACTCTTTTGTTCATAAATTATTTATGTCTGCATTTTGATGCAAAAAAATTGTGGGAAAAGAAAAAGAAAAACAAAAATCCTCCTATTCTGT